TTTTGCACGTTGGTTTAAAGGGACAGCCAAAAGAAAGGCGGCCATTCCCCTTTGCACCACGTACCGGCGTGGTTCTAGTTTGAGGGTATTTTTTTTGGACGGCCTTAAAGGGAAACCAAAAGGACACACTTTTTGGGGGTTTCCCTTTTCAAAGGCTCAGTTGTTCAAAGCCTACCTTTTGACTTTTTGTTTTTGTTCCGATTTGGATCCATGTTTTGTCATGACCCCAAAAGGTTAACCTATTGTTTCTTGGTCGTTTGGGGAACCGAGAAAAAAACACATACCCATGCTTCCGGTCGTTTGACAAAGGAACACCCCGCCTTTTGGGCCGTGAGAGTATTCGAGCTAAGGCTGGACCTGCACGAGCTCTCCTTTGGCAGTGCCAAGAGTGCAGTGCGCTGGTGGCTGCAGACGCGGGGAGGCGATGGGAGGGCTCGGCTTAGAACCAGCGGTTTTCTGGGGCTTGGAAAGGAGCTCCAGTCTCTCTCTCCCTCTCTATGTTTTGTTCTCTTTCTCTCTCTGACTCTTAATCTCTCTCTTTCTTTTTTCACTTGTCTTGTTTTTCTCTCTCTCTCTCCCTCTCTGTCGCTTTTCTTTTTAATTATTTCCTTTTTCTCAGCCTTTCTCTCGGTCTCTCTATGTCTCCGTCTCTCTCTGTGAGAGAAAAGGAGCGTGTCATACTTGAAGGTTAACAGTCAGACAAATACGTTTTGTACCCAACTCTTCTGGTCAAGTTAGGGCCAGTTTCTGTGATACCCTGTGTGAAAAAATCGTCACGGGAACCATCCCTTCAATATCACCTGCAGATGTTCCACGAACACGTCCAAGAGTGCAACCAAAGCGGATCATTCCCATGGTTCGCATATTTTTCCCCTCCAGGGCTTGAACAACATGCTCGCGTGCTCAAAGCTCGCGTGCTTGAGCTGCATGTGAAAAGCTTTGGTGAGCACCAGCGTTTACCCAGTCGAAAGGCCAAAGGGACCATAGGCGGTCAGGGAAACGCTGTCAGCCGGCGGTGATTTATTCCCCCTTCAGCGGTGCATTCGGGAGACTGAACATTCGGGACCTGGGGAAGCTCACATCGATCGGAAAGCCGGGGAGAGGAGTTAGGCAAAATAATGTCCCGTGGCTTGGAGAAACCTGGGAGTTGTGGCCGTGGCACATTTGTCCCCGAAGGCTTCGGGGGATTTGTTCGGTGCCATGGCAACTTCGGCAACCACCGCTTGGTAACTCCCCTGATTTACCTTCACCCCCCCCCCCCGCAAAGATGTGACTTTGCAGGTTCCAGCGCAATATTGGTTGCAAACCTGCCAATCACTGGTTGCAAATCAAGCGAATGAATGACTTCGAAACCCATGATCATTTGTCATTTGGTTACTTTTCTTTATTCAAAGGGCACAGTATTCCATGGCCAACTGTGGTACTGATTTCGGGTTATTTTCTATGGAGATTCTTGCTTCGACCTCGGAGCATCCGCATCCATGGGGGTGGGTTCACTGCATGACACCCCTCGAAAAGCAAGAGTTCCATTCTTTTTCAGCCCACAGAGCAACTGATCCAACATAGCGAATCGTTAGTTTCCATGTTGACCGCTGGCTTCTTGTTCTGCAGCCGTTCTTTACCCTTTGAGCTTCCAATTTGTGCAACCTTGTGTCTTTTGGCAAATCTTGGCGCAAACCAATTCGTGTTCGATCAGTTGCCACAAAGCACTGCAAAATCACAAAGAAAGGGGAGAGGGTTTAGGGGAGCCACTCTACCACTTCCTTTTACGCTTCCTGACTTCCTGGACTTTCTTCTCAGCTTTTGGGAAGACCCGCTGGTACGTAAAACGTGTGGTTTTCCAAAATCGGCCATCCTCTTCGTGAAGCTTCAGGGGAGTGCATCCTCATCACTGGCTGGGGCAAGAGTCGGGCCGAGTGGATGTCTGGGGACCTCAAGGCGGGGACGCTTTGAATGGAAGGTTTTCGGTTTCAGCGTGACGAGGTCCCCCAGCCTTTTCGGTGCCCGACCTCTCTCACCGAATCTTTCTTGGTTGGGAGGGTTCGGGACCCTACTAAAATAGACTACAGGAAAAAAGTGGGTACCCTTATTCTATCCTCTCTACTGGAGGACCTCGGTTTTCATATTTTGGGGGGCGATCCATCGGGTTTCAGTGAGTCCGTGCTTCCTTCCACAAGGAAAATTGCTGATTCCCCACAATTCCCACTATGGTACCCTCCTGTCCATGGAATCCATCAGAGGGTCCCTTAGGAAGATGTTAAATCCAAACCAGGATCCCTTGAGCTTCCAACTTGAAGGCGGAGTCCAAGTTGCGGCTAGTTGTTTTTGTTCCTTGCGAACCTTGTTCAAACCCGGTTTGCAGGAATACGGCCATGGGTCAAAATCCCGTACCCCCAGTGAACATCCCCACTAAAATAGGTTCTAAAATGGGTGGTGCACCTACCCCAAAATGGGATCCCATTGGTTTTGACCCACAGCCATATGAGTCGCAAAAAGTCCAATTGGTATTCCACGAGAAGTTTGTTTCCCCAAGCTATTTGGGTCCAAATTGGGGCCGGTGACAAATACCAGCTAATGTTGCCCAACCTAAAATAGCCCAGTACTGTACCTTGAAAAAGCACACGGGCTACCTGGACCACCTTTCTGTCTAGTTCCCTTACCCTGAACGGTGAGCCTCAAAAAGAAATCCGGGGCTGACTCCTGTGTCGTTCTGTTTTTTGAGGGCACCCCCGGCAAGTGTGTAGATTGAAATGGAACACCGAAACCCCTTTGGGGATCCAACCTGAAAAGAAAGATTGGCACACTCGCATGGCTTTGCCGGAAAAAAAAGAGAGGTACATATGGGTGTCTGTTTTAGGTTGGACCCCGCAAAATGGGCGGTTTCCTTTCTGGCTCCCTTTTAGCCCCAAACATGGTACCCTCAAAAAAGGCACCCATATTGGCTCAACCAGTATACGGGAAGCTTCCATGTCCAGCCAAAATCCCAGGAAACCATCCAAAAACCTACGGAAAGCGAGTTTGAAAGACTGTAAATTCAAAGCTCGACTAAAACCAGCGTCACCCCAGCTGTTTCATTTTGAGCCACACCCGTGTTTAACGATTGAACATAATTTGGGACGTCAACCCCAACCGACTCATCATGGAAGTGGGTTGATGGGGTCTTTTCAACATGGTTGTTGTTGGGACACATTTTACATTTTTGCTTATTGTGGTTTAGTGGTTGAAATCCAAATCCACTCAACTGCCAAACAAAATGACGTGACTTTTTTTGCTTCTTCCCCTTCCAACGTCAAGTCAAGAGGACGGTAGTCTTAAGCCTGTCCGCTTCGATCGCATCGTGCTCGCAAAACGTCTCAAGGGCCGGCTCCTGGCCTGGAAAGAGCTGGGCCTGTGCCTGCCGATGCCCAACCCGGGGCGCCTGCGCTTCGTGCCGGCCGAAACAAGCGGCCGAGAGAAAAAAACAAAAGGGTCTGCGCTGACGTGCGCACCTTTTGTTTTTTGGGGGGGGTTGTTTCCTTGGACCGAATCGTTTAACCCGGTGGGGGTGGTAAGGGAAGTGGTGTCGATCTAGAGTTGCCTTTGCTGGGCTCGGGGGTGTTGGCCTAAGAAGATCCGGATTTTGGAAAAGGCACCCCCCCTCACAAAAAACAAATAAAGAAAAAAGAAAAGAGAGAACACCACCCGCCCAAGGTTTGCTTCTCTGGGCTCCCATGGTTTGGGGAACGGAAGATAGCGGAAGATCGAGGTTCCACCCAGGCTGCAGTTCGGGATCCTCAAGAACCAAGTCTTCCTGATTGGAAGCTGACAGGGCGCAAAAGCGACTACTTTTCTTAAGAACCTCCCTGTGCACTTCCATGTTGGAAAGAGGGTGCGAAAAGATGCACTCCTACAGGATACTATGACCTAAATTGAGAACATGGCATTGGGATACCTGGAGTCTCCTACCGTCCCTTTAAACATGGGGATGATAGAACAACAGTATTTCCAGCGGGGTTTGTTGGTGTCACAACCCGGCATCGTAGGATTGACCAAAGGCTGTTTCCAGTCCCAACATGACAGGAGGGCAGATGTTCACTCTTCACCAAGAGGTTGAAAGATCAACGTGGAAGGCTCTAAGCTGACAGAAGGGTTAAGACTAGAGTCTTCTTGAAAAGGACCCATCAACCCACTTCCATGATGAGTCGGTTGAGGTTGATACCATTTTCGTTTCATTCATCGTTCTTTTCGATGGTTCTCTCAAAAGGATGATCCCTGGAAAGAATGGACATGGAAGCTTCCCTAGAATGTTGGTAGGCATGATTCACCGACATGAACTTTGTGGAGGAGGCATCCCCACTTGCGGCAAGATCACATTTTGCTCAGCTTCAACAACCCAGACCCTGCATATACCATACGTATCATTTTTGAGTGGCGAGTCCAATTTTCCTCTGCGTGGGGTTCTGCAACGCCGAGGTGTTCCGTGGCACGGTCTGAGTTTGATATGTGCATCCCTCAACCACTCACAAAGGGGTCCCGCTTCCTTAAGACCATGGACCGCTCAGTAGAGCCATGTGGATCCCAGGCAAGTCCTCGAAAGCGATGTTTTTCCATCTCAGCATGAATCCCAAGGGCGCGACCGATTGGGTCGTCCTTCGGGGCATTTCCTCAACACCTGGACCTTTTTCTGGGTGTGTCAAAGCCTGGAGAGTCGGACCCGGTCCCAAAGTGGGTTTCGTTTTCCCCGAGCCAACAGGTTGTTGGGGGTTCGATTTTTCGCCACCCGAAGAGGCGATAGAGGCCGGAAGCCTGAGGCTTCCGTCAGTGCCCGAACAAGGACGAAGGGAATCTCCACCACACACGAAGTGTGATCACGGTAACAGCGGCTGCTATTGATTCTCAACTTGCTCGGTTTCGCAGCATGTTTGAGGTTTGGAGCCCCGCCTGCAGTCAGACCGATTTTGTGGTGCCTGTGTTGGCCAAGCGGGGGGTGAAGTATTTTCCCACCAGGTCCCTGCATAGTC